AGTTGAATAGGTAGGCAGCGTAAGTTTATCTCTTCTATTTTATCTTGCACCCACATTACACGCACCAGCGTATTACACACACACACACAAATACATACATAAACACATATGTTAGTATTTGAGCGTAATTTTATTTTCATTACACATTCTAATTTATTATTACTAAGGTTGAGAGTAATTTAATTTCATAGGTAGTTAAGAGCAATAATGTAATTCTAGGAAAAATCTTGTAATGTAAATTAAAACGCTGTAAGTGTATCGATAGGTAGGTTAATTGTTAAGTTTTACATTATCATTATTAAGTTGGAGCCTAAGGCATTACGTAGGTGGTGGGGTGGGTGCCGAAAGGCCAATGAATTGGGCTCTTGAGTTTTGTAATTTTAGGTAAGCTAGGACCGTAATGTAATAAATAGGTAGGTTAAGGCTACGTTGTAACACATCCTCATTAATAGATTTAGGGTTTAAGTTTTATATTATTATTACTAAGTTGGAGCCCAAGGCATTACGTAGGTGGTGGGGTGGGTGCCGAAAGGCCAATGAATTGGGCTCTTGAGTTTTGTAATTTTAGGTAAGCTAGGGCTTAATTGTAATGAATAGGTAAGTTGAGGGTACGATAGCCGATAGACTCTGAATTTTGAAGTCTCTTGTCAGAGGTAAGCCTTGGCGGCCAGTGGTGAACCGGCAATGGTTTACTATCCGGACGGCAATGGTTTACTATCTGCACGGTAATGATTTACTATGCGGCATGGCCATAGTCTACTACCCGCACGGCTTCCGGACGGCAAATGGTTTACTATCCGCAAGGCAGTAGTCTACTATCCGCACGGCAATGGTTTACTATCCGGTGCCCTGGCTGTCGGTGAACCTCTGTGCAAGGAGGGAGAATGAAGGGGAACTTTCGACTATCGTACCATTAACAATTTATTATAGATTAGTTAAGGTAATTGAATAAGTAGATAGGATTATTTTTATTAAGCAATTTAAGATGCAGGCACCGCTAAGCTTTCTAATGAGAATTTTTTGTTTCTCCATTCCACGGGCTGTGTTTCAACAACAATCTCGAGG